CTGAAAGGTGACAAGCAGATGAAGCAGCAGCAGGCAACCAGAGGGAACTGTAAAACACTGTAGTAGCTACCAAGATATAGACTGGTCATGAACTTACTCCCAGTTCTTTCAAGCTTCCTAAGCACATACTTAAGCAGATGCTGTTGCACTGCTCTTTCAATAACTTGCTAGTGTCCTACTCTATTATTATACTCTGCTTGAAAGTCACTCAGACATTTCTTGTGAGCAGTGGTCTAAGAAAGCCCTAGATGGACTCCCTGATTTGAGGAAGGCCTGCCATACCCACAGGTGGAAATGCAATCACATTACACCAGGACCTGAGAAAACCTGTAAAGGATCAGCACGAGTTACGTGAATGACTCAGACTAAGCACATCTGATTGATTTCCTTAACCTGAGCAAACACCTTCTCATTTTCTTCTATTTAAGCCACAAAGCCATTTCAGTTCCTGTATCTGTTTCTCTCCCACTGGTTCCTGTCATCCTTCCAGCAGACTCAACTGCAACTCATATATAACATTATACACACTCTTAACCCCTCTCAGGCTTCCTATTCATTCTTCTTCCATAGCATTCTAGACAGGGAAAGCATATGAACACTCCTTGCAGCTTGCCTCAGGCCTCAAAGTAATTAATCTCCCTTACAGGCTCCCTGATGCAGAGGTAACACAATGCTGGAATTAGCAACTGTGGTCGAGCAGCATGAAGACAGATAACCACACGCACACACACCCATTCACCCACGAGAAACTCTGCCCAAGGAGTTTTATTCTGCAAAGATGGCTGCTCTGCAAACCTGCAGGCTCTCACTTATGTCACTGAGCAAAAAAAGACCAGAGAACAAAAACATATAGCACAAATTTCATCGCTTATTTTTCAAAAAAAGAGAGGTTGCACACAGAACAAATCCCTCGATTGCTGAAGTTAGGACAAAGTGCTGTGGGCAGTGAAGCATATATAAGTAACCACTCTTCCCTTTTAACTTCACAACTGCATTTACCTTTCACAGGTATTCCCTTACATTGCCTTCTCCTCTTCAAAGGAGAGTGTAAACAAGAAGTTTATCTATACTCTTCCACACCTTGCTTCTGCAGAGACACTTATCTAATCCCAGCTCTGGGTTCCTTCTTGGCTTGGGGAATGTTCTGTTTTCCCTGTACTTCCAGAACAGCTTATCTCTAGAGCCATATTAAAGTTTCTCTGCTTCATTATCTAAGTTGTCATGTCATAACTGTCAATGTTATGAAACCCTGGAATGCAATTAAATTGCATGAGGAACACAAGAAAAAGGAAATTCAGCTTTTCTTTCAAATGGAATTAGTTTGTTTTCTTTCCCTTCTCCACAGTCAAAAAGAATACATATTAACGACCACAGCTGAGCCTGAACTAGCCAGAACCTTGAAGCATTTCTTTAATCTGCCTATCACAGTATGACAGATTCAGTATTGAGCATTCACTGGTTACTACGCCAAAGAACTGCAACTGAAAACAGCAGAGCCTGTTTTCACTAAAAATAACCTCTCTGCAGCAGACTACCAGTTAGACAATGCATGTCCAGAATGTAACCCCTTCCAGGGTCAAGCATCACTCCATTAGCCAACAAAATGTAAAGAAAAACACAAGCTTTCAATCAATTTGGACACAGGAACTCTGGAAGTACAGAGCACATTCAAGATGCAACAGTGAAGAGCTCCTGGTGGCCCCACGTAACGGGGAAGAGTTCTGGCTACTTGACTTGCACTACAGCCTATCTCTAGCCATAAGGACAGAGTTCTACTGACCACACAAAGGAGCCAAACCATTGTCGTCTTCAGATTTACAAAGCACTCACACTTCCACAAAAGGTGCCTGAGGAAAAAAAAAAGACTATCACATATCAGCTTATTTAATACCTACAACCACCTCAAGCATTCTAACAACGTGTCCACAGTAACTTCCCTGAAAGTTTTCAGAGCACAAAGCTTCCTGGTGACTTTAAGTGGTATTTTGTAGCACCTAGTATCACCCATAAACCAAAACGGATCCCTGCAGTGCTACAGAACACCCTCCATCTTTTCACAGATTTAGTAAAATCAAGTCCAAATGCATTCCTGATTATGCATTCCTGGAAGAAAATACAGATCTCCCCTTCTTTCAGAAAGCCCTCATGCAGGCAGTACTGTCACCTTGAAAACAAAAGCCAAATTTCTGCATTTGACAATAAGAACGATATTCTTCATATTCAGGCCTTTGTTTCGGAGAGCCCGCAGCACACCAAAGGGCTCACCTTTCCAAATCACCTGGTTATGTCCTGCTGCATTACATTTAGTACAGCAGTTGTTTTTAACATATGCAAAGTAACACACGCTGCAGTTCGCCAGCCAGAAGAAATCAGGAGCTTTTCAGAGGAAATCTCTTCACAAGGGCAGGAGGAGTTTGAGTACTTTTCCTTCCCAACATTAACTCAATGATTAGGTTTAAATCACTTGACCTTCTAAGACCTACCAGTAACGAGACACCACTTACTTAAAGTATCACTTGAAGTACGGGGACTTCCTAAAATGTCTGCTGCCTCACCGGGAGCCCAGAATGATGCAACCTCCCTCTAAATTCCTGCCTATTTATCACCATAAAAGATTACCTTGAAATGTACTGGAAGGCCACTTGTCTTCATGTTTGTATCAGGGGCAGAACTTCTCTCTGCTGAAGCAAGGACATGTGACGAGCCACTCTTCCCTTTTAACATCATAACTACACATATTATACAGGTCTTCTCTACTTTAAGAGAACTTTACCTACAGTCTTTTGCTCCCCACCTATAGTCTATAGGCCTATATAGTCTCAGCTGAGCTCTGGGTTCCTTCTTGGCTTTATTTCTGCTGCTTGCTTTTATTTTTCTTATCCTGCTAAGTGAGATTATACCTGAGGCAAAGGCAGGTAAGCCTGGCTCACTGTACCTTTCCTTGGACAGCACCTGAACTTACCAAGGTGGTTTTATAAGAGGGAGTCAGAGCAGACAGGATCATCAAAGCAGGAGAGGACCACATACACAGGCTCTCAGGCTCTTTCCATCTCATTGAGAAGTTTTAAAACACACAAATACAGTGCTTAGCCTGCATCAAAACCATTTCTGAGAGTTCCATGAACGAGAAATGATGCACTGCAGTGCAAGCCAGCTTTTTATCAGCCTGGCAAGAGGAAGGAGCAGAAGTGCTCAAGCGGATCAGTCAGCATCCCAGGGAAAGGGCATGCAGAAGGTACTCTGACCTGGGAAAGGATGGAAGCTAGGATGGCACACAGTCACAACAGACTACATAAAATCCAAACTTCCAGACAAGGGCTCAATCCCAGAAGCTCTGCTGGCTTGCAGGAACGCAGCTTTGTAATAATAATCTCTGTTTTCACACAATCAATACTTTGATCCAAAGTCAATGTATTACCTTGTGCAACAAACAGATCATTCTCTGCTGTCAGCAAAAACGTAAGGCAGGATAAGCTGCTACAGGCTAAAGGAAAGTTTCCTTGCCACTGAAGTCTGTGCTATTGTGAATGGATTCTGAATTCGAGGGAAAAGTTTGCTTTCATCTTATCCTTCAGATGTCTTCATTGTACATAGATACCGCTAAATCACAGCACAGAGCAATAAACTTGCACCAGTCAACAAGAAAAGGCTCTGGAAACTAGGGCAGAAAATGCTGACCCATTTTTCTTCCAGAAAAGGCATGTTCCAAAATGACCTCTTCTGTCCCATCTTTCACATGCTACTGCTGCTTCAACTCTGGAATACCTACTTGAGCAGGAACCAAATTAAAGTATGACCAAAAAAAGTCTGGCAAGAGCAAACCAATATGGCTTCTGCATGTGAGACAACCTGGTTTCCCATGCATTGAACAATGCACCTTCCTTCCCATGAACGCAATACCACTTCCCGGGCTCAGAGACCCATCCGACTGCTTGCACAAACACAGCAACGTTCAGTCCACCAGATCTCCCAAATATCAAACTGGAGTGAGCGGGCAGCCAGAGGCTCAGCCAGTCAAACTGAACATTCAACCTGGGCTGACTACTCTGAACTTTCTCTGCCAGGAGTGACTGACTGCACAAAGACCCACACAAATAGCCCAAACCTACAAAAGAATGAGGGGAGACACAGTGGAGATTATTCTCTTGCATAAGGAATAAACCTAAGTCTCCAAAGTTTAAGATCAGTAAGAGAAAAATAGGTCTGTCTCTCAGAGACGTTACCAAGATGTGCATTTGCAGAGTATTTTAGAGACACTGAGTTGTAAGGAATATTCCAGCTTCACAATCACTAGCAAGTGATTGCCTACCCTGTAACTAACACTTTGTAGGCAGCTACATGGCAGTATAAACCACCACCAGTGTGGATTAGGGGGAAAAAAAAAAAAAAAAGAATAAAAGTGAAGAAAAAAGCCGTAGATGTGATTGCATATGTCACTTACCATCTGCTGGCTGCTGGAAGTTGACGTAGGCATACCCAAGGGACCGGCGGGTGATCATATCCCTGCAGACACGAATGGAGAGAACGGGCCCAGCGGGGCTGAACTTCTCGTAGAGCATGGCCTCGGTGACATCGGGGTGCAGGTCACCCACGTACAGCGATGCCATCGGGTAACTGCTGGCAGCCGCGTTCATCTTCCACCCAGCACGTGCTCCCACTGGGAACTAAGAGGGTTTTATTCTTGGGGTTTATTTAAGTCAAGCTTTTCGTAAATACTTAAACTGAGGGAAAACACAAAATCTTATTTAAAACCCTCACTAAGCAGGGACCTGCAGGAACAGCTTGGGAGAGGAGGGGACTGGTGACCAGAGGGAGGGTGCAGTGAGGGGACTGGCTGCTCCGCCAGGCCCCGGGACAGGGAGCAGCTGAGAGGGGAGGAGAGGCCTGGGAATTAGGAAAAAAAAAAAAAAACAAAAAACAAAAACAAAAAACCAACCCAAAGTTAAGCCTCCAGGAGAGCGGGGCTCGGATACGAAGCCAAAATTCATACGCCAGCTCCCAAGCGTTCCTCCCGTCCGCTCTAAGGCCAAACGCACCTCAATCTCCCTAAAACCACATCCCTTATTTGGCTTTAAGAGTTTAATTTTGCCCCAATTCTCCAGAGCGAAGGCCGTTTGACTTTCTCAGGTTAAAAAAGGGGGGGGGAAAAAAAAAAAAAA